ATTTTTAGTGCTTGTAGCTGCACAGTTAGATGTACTCATTTAGTGCATTTAACTGGAAAATTACTTGGTAGTCTCTGCCTTCAGTCATCTAATTCAAAGTCCCCCTAGAAGTCAGTGATTGAGCCCAGCTGGTTGAAGTCTCACAGTCATGCTCTCTCTGGGCAGAAGCAGGACAGAAATAAAGCAGCACTCTTTGCTTTAGCAGAGTCCATTTCCACCTATATTCTTGCGTTGCCCTCTCGTAGCAGGTTCTCAGTGTATTGGCTTTTTACCACACACTAAACAAAATGAGTGCAGCTGGTGAGGACCAAGACCTTCAGCTTTCTGGGAGCAACTGAGAAAGGTAATGATACAAATACCTTTGTATCACTTTTTAAATTAAATCCTTGTCTTTTTAATGTAATTCTCAAGTCATCCCTTAGGATTTGGTATTTATACCATAATATGGACTGTAGAGCTACAGATGTTTACAGAAAATCTTTTGTTTTCCTGTTTATATGTAAGCTACCATAGAAGTTAGATGATGTTCTTTGTATTTTCTCTCTTCATTACAGCCACAGTAATACATATGTGAGCACATATTTCCAAAAAGACTGTCAGATTATAGTTTAAAATCTGGCATGCAGTGAAGTGACTATATGTATTTCTACCCCTAACAATGGACAAAATGTAACATTGTTCCTAAATTACCGATCTCTGCTAAGTGGTGAAATCGAAGCACACTGAGCTAAAGGTCATGACATTTCAAATCCAAATTTCCGGATGGTAATGTTGGAGAAAAAGATCTAAATAAACTACCTACTTCTTGTCAATAAAAAGAACTTAAATACATTCCTCTGTCAGTAGTAGTTAAAGTTGAATGGAAAATTATGAGAAGCAGAATTCTTTCTTTTCATTCATTCTCTTCAATTCATTTCTTTTTATTCAAATTTAGACTTTTTAAATGTATTGCTTGATTGGTTTTAGAATTGGTCAAATAATAGCAGTTCTTACTGTTATAAAGTATTATCTCTTTGGCCCATAAATTACATTTCTTATCCACTACTACTCAAATAATTTGATATATGCCTCATGTCCACTGCTTTTACATTTTGAGAGTAAACATAAGAAGGCCTTCATTTGGTAGAGCTGGGTAAACTGACCTATACAGATATAAATGTATGGACAAACCATATTTTCTGAAAACAATATTTCACTTCAATACTTCCAGCTTTATACAGAGCCTGTGAACTCATCCCACTCTTTGATCTTGAAGCACTTGGTGATTTCAGTCAGAGGCAAACATCTTAAATACACTAAGTCTCTGAAGTTACGTGAAATGGCATCAGGTAGGGGAAGATGTAAGAGATTTCCTGCCAGGAGAGATAGCTATGCCGTGAGCATAACTTGTGCTAAGCTCAGAAGAAAAGGGTTTGGGGAAAAGTGCTTAGAAATACCCTCCTCACAGGGTAATCTTCAGAGCTTGCTCTTTCTGAGAAACTAAATTACCTTGGAGATAGAAATCTGTAGGAAACCTAGCTTTAGTTTCAGTCTGCGCAGACAAACTTGTTTCTAAGAACAACATTTTTACAGAAGCAGAATATGCCCAAAGGCAAACTGAAAACTGAATGCCAGGCAAATATGGCAATATTCCTCTTTGCTAAATTAGCTGATGCTGAGTGATTAGTACTATTGTTCAGCTCAGCTGTTAACTTATTGTGAAATGCAGGCAAACACAGTGGGAAGAAATGATCATGTCCAATTCCAGTTCAGAAGGCTGAATGATTTCTTTATTATAACTATGCTATAATCCATTAATACACTATATAAAGGAAGATACTAAAACTGCATACCTACTTTTCTAACTGCCATATCTAACTCCCTCACAACTCGTGACCCTGTTTGCAAGAGTCCAGAAACAAGTGGATCTGATTTGTCATCAAACAATCCTCACCAGAATCCAATCAAGCAATCACCCCAGGTAAACCATTCTCCAAACACATTCCACATAGGAGAAACAAGTGGCAGAAATAGAAATTGTTTTCTCTTTCTTTCTCTCTGTGAACCTCTATGAAAAATCCTGATAGAGACAGAAATGTGCTTGTCACAGTTAACTCTTAGCTGATTTCCTAGTGCTTATTTCCCAGATAATTTCAAAGAGATTTATGCATGAACTGAGAGTTAAACATAGGCTTAAATGAGGTACTGACACAAGCATCGTATAAGTGTATATTTAATGTGAAATATTGTGAATCCAGACTTCAGCAACATCCTTAAGCATTCTGAAGTTGAAGGGATTACTCACATTCCTACAGATCCCTGCAAACTTGAGCCCCATGTTGAATTATGATGTAGTAAAGGATCAGTAAGAATCTTATCTAGATTTGCAGAGTGGGTTAAACCACTGAATTCTGTCAGTGTTGAAAGAAGCCTCAATCAGTTAGTTACTTCTCATCTACATCTGGCTTGGCAACCAGTCAAGAAGAACAACAGCACTCACTTTCTATTCATGTATTATGCACAATTTTGCTTTGAATACCGTGTTTATTCTAACACAAAGGCTGCATTTTAATTTCATTTTTGGTACTACATCAGTGGGAAAATGTGAGAATTGAGAGCGCCACTCAACTATTGAGCCACAGATCAATAGACAAAATTTTTTAAATGGCTTTGAAATGCCTGCATTGATAAAGCTATATCCATTATTCTTCTTTCTGTACTGGGCAGAAATAATAAATATTTTAAGGACCTTAAAATAGGTGGAATCAGTAATATTGACTAAGCAGAAACTGCCAGGAGATTAGGACTTAGTTGGTAGGATTTAAATATGCTTGGCATGTCAAAGCAATGTGACAAGTCAGTGTTTTCATAATGTTCTGTGTCTACCTCATAACTTGTTGTGAAAGGATGATGGCTGTTGCCAGCTTGCTTTGTTCTTAATAATATTTTTAAAGATAAGAAAGTGAAATGGCTCCATTTCAGGAATTAAGTCATTTCCTTGTGCCAAAATACTGACAAGCAGTCTTGGTGCGGGAAGATAAATTAGAGTTCTGACTCCTGCATCACAAAAAAGAAATCGACACTGCTTGTAAGGAGCCTTTCTGTTTAAGCTGAAGTTACTTCTTTTAACATTGCAGATGTGAATGTCAAGTGAGATTTCGATGTGAATTTTTGTAATATGAAATGGAACAGACTGTTGAACTTAGGCAATTATAAAAGTCAAGGATAATTTTAGGGAAGGGGAAGTCTAAGAATCAGAAAGTGGAACACACAAATCTCAGTTAAATTATACTATCAGCTGTATAGCAGTGTTTGCTGCCCACATCTAATGGTATATTTGCCTTGTTGTCTTTGCCACTGTCACTGCTTCTTTCAGCTCCCTCAAAAGTGCATTTGCAATACCTTCTTCTCCCTTCATGCTGGCAGTATTTAAACCCTTAGTGAATAGTTCTCCATAGACCTTCATTATAATACAAGAAGTCCTCTTTCCTACAGGCACAAAATGGAAAAATTCCCACTCAGACACATATCCAACACAGCAACAGCAGTAGACTCCTCCCAGTACACCTGACAGTAAGTATGAAATGCATTATGTCCATCTGGGGCTTCCTCTGCTCTTCTTTCTTTGCCTGTACTTCTGCTTGGCTGCCTGAGTATATTCCATTCATCCAGGATTGGGAACTTTTTGAGCAGAAACTGTTTATTTTGAAACTCCTGTGAACACTGTAGTGCTTGATCTGTGATTTATGCTTCCAAGCTGTGGGGTGAGGCTGTATTGACCTGCCTTACCTGATGGAAAATGCTGCTGGCTCATGAAGGAAGTGGCATAAAGGTCACGACTGAGATAAGAAGTAAAAGCGTTTGTTACAGGTGGCTCAGGCAAACAGGAAAACCAGCTGTCAGCACTTCAGAAGAGGAGCCACTGCAAACCTTCACCTCTTTACCTTGCAAGGATTCTCACATCACCTGTTACAGGCCTGCCTCTTTGCATCAGTTTGTACACCCTGGTCTGTTTTAGCTAAGAGTAGTTCTTCAAACTGAACATGCTCCTGGGCAGATGTGGTTGAGACCATGAAGTTCATTTATTTACAAAAAATGCATATTGAAAATTATGCAGTGCAGTGCTTTGTTTTTCCAGTTTAAACACAGGTACCACAGACACCAAAGGAGGATGCAATATTGTTGGAAAATCATATATTAAATGGTTCTTCAGTGAAAAAGTGCTATAATTCCTACCATAGCTTAGGGAGAGAAAAAGCAATAGAAGCATATAAATATATCCTATATACACAAACAGTACAACACAGATGTCTTGTAAGCAGGGATTAGTAGAAGGACACTGTTATAGAAACAGCACATATTTTCCCTTGGGAAACTTAAACCCCCACAAATGTAGTCCATTCAAGACCACGGAGAAACAATGTGCTGCTTATGCTCATTTCATTCCTTCTTGCTGAGACTGACATTTTATGAAGCAGGCTCCTGTACATTTCACATTCTGTTTAAAAACTACAAAGTCCTTGGATCAGCATCCTTTTGTCCATTAGGAAAAAATCTAAATGCATTCCTCTCCACCTTTATATTGTTATATTTCCCTTGCTTCATTAAACCGGACAACACGAAGTTATTTTCACTCTTCACTGCAGGAGCATAATTGATGGAGTAGTTTTAGTAGAAAAACACAAGAGATTAATCTTAAACTAGTTTAATTTAAGCAGTTCCATGACAACAGCTGGAGACCTAGCTTCTGGGAAATGCAGATGCAAACTCAGACTGGAAGATAAGATTTAGTGGCATCAGTGAGTTGCAGCTGCTGCATACTACTACATCTAGCAACATCTTTTTAGATCACAGTCAGACTGAGCCCTAAGATAAGTAGCCATCCATCTGTTTTATGGCAAACTGCAACTGGACATTAGGTAGCAACTGAATTCTTCACCACTCAACTCACATTTTCTTATTTGTCATTTTAATAGTGATTCCTGTACAGGTCAGGTGTTCTTTCCCCTCCCATACACTACCTGTGATTGCCAGCTGAGTAACAAAGTAGGTCATTCGAGATTTTCTCTTCCTCCTCCAGGTAGAGAAAAGCACAGTGGCATTTCCAGCAATTGTGACAATAAAGAGAACCCAAAGAGTCACCAGCTGCTCTGTCTGCAATGGAAAGAAGGGGAAAAAGCATATTGATGAGTGGATGGACAGTCACTTATCCTCAGACAAATCAGATGAAAATGAAAAATAGGAGTGAAATTTGAGTTTTGCCAACTGATTTCAACTTTTTAGTCTAAAAGACATTCTTGGTTTTTTTTCAGAAAATACTTAACATGCATCACTGCTAGTGATGTTCATTCCAGTTTGGTTTGCAGTGGCTGTATATTACTTTTCTCTTCACAAAACCACTAGCAGTGTCTGTATTCTGCACTTAGTGCGAAAACGAGAGTCAGCTCTCAGCTTTCTTTTGCTGCTCCAGCAAACTGTGAAATAACCAGCTGCCTCACTTCATAAGGAATGTTGATAGATGGGCTCCTTTGGAGAAATGGGGGAAATAAATACTTCTCTCTTTCTAAACTTCAGTAAGTCTGAGTCATTCACAAGCCCTATGAAATTCAGACATTCACTCCATGATCTAGATGTACACCATGACTGAAAAGCAAGCATGACCCACTAAAGAAAAAGTACACTTGTGTAGCGACTGAAACGTGATGACAAAACGTCCCCTAGTGGCGTGTGTACAAAGAAAACAAGGTAAGAAAGCTATTCGTGCTCTCAAGGCATCAGGATGCTCTGGCTGCGGGATCAGCACCGTATGTGTGTCCACGTTTGCTTGTTCGGTGAGTGCACACCCAATCTTTACAACCTAGCAACTGTTTCAGGCTTTGTCAATGCAGTCGCTTGGGGTCTTTCCATTCAAGACAGCAAACCCACAACGTGGGAGTTAGAGGAAGACGGAGGAGGCAAGTGAGGGCTGCAGCTGAGGAGAGGTGCCAGGTGCTGGCCCTACAGACGTGGCCTCAAGGACCGGTCCTGAGCAGGCTGGGGGAAGGATGCTGTCAGTAAGACCCCATCTGACTGGGCTGATAGTAGAGCAGAAGCCAGGGAGAACACATTAAAAGCATTTGTAAGCCACTATGGTGAGCAGAAACCAGAGTTCCTTCTGCTTGGATAGAAAACAGCTCACAGTGAGGATGGGGAGGGAAGGTGAAATGAAAGACTGGAGCAGGGACATGGAGCTTCCTGCTTTATAGAATTAGCCTTAGTGCCTTCTTGGCACTTAGGCTCGTTCCTGGCCAGCAGTCTTGTGTCTCCTCGTCCCTCCCATCACCCTCCCAAGCAGCCTCTCCTGGGAACCAGCCTCAGCTTTGCCCCAGGTCAGGAGCCACACCACCCTGTGGATCACACAGTCATGCAGGGAAAGCTAGACCTGATGAGGGGCAATTCAATATGGCACTCTGTGCCTGAGCCCAGAGATTAGTTTAAGCAAACAATGAAGGCTGTGTAGAGAGGATTTCACTTTTCCCAGCATGATGATTTTCACCAACATAATCTACCATTCATGTCATCTCACCTAACTTTAAAGTTCTAAAGAGACACAACTATTCTAAATTGTCTTAGTATTGTCTAGGTAATAGCAGTGTGTCAGAGATGAGTCACCACTCATCTCACCTACCTTGGGATGGATTGTCTCCACTGAATATAGAGTGACCTAGATGAGACAACATGTGTGGGCTAGATACTTAGCTTTTAGATTAAAAAAAAATTAAAAAAGAAATCCATCTTTTGGGGGTATCTGCAAATCTCTTTAATTTCTTGGAGACAAATTTCCTTAAAAATGTGTGGCAGAGATATGGTGGAAACTATTTTTATGGGGATGATTTTCTTAGCACAGGAATTGGAAGGAAATGTCTTTTTGGAAGACAATAAAATCATAAAAGATAAGATTTCACATCACTTTTGTCCTTGAAATCAATGATTTCTCCTCAGGGTTTGTTTCGGTTTTTCCATTTCAGAAAGTATATTTCTCACATGAAGAAAATTAAGTGACTAGACTTGTTCCCATTTTCTTTGATATAAAATCAGAAGAGCATTTTCTTAAGAGGAATTATATTCCTGTATTATACTGATATAGATAGGAACAGAAGAAGGATCTGACACTCAAACTTTCTTATGATTCTACAGAAAAAAAAGCTTTGGAGCATCAGAGGCTGTGTTAGAAGGATAAGAGCACAGTACAAATGGTCAGATTAAATACCTTCTGCCAATTTAAAGCAATGCCTAACAATTAAGCAATGTTAGACTCCAGAAAATAAACCAGACTGCAAAGATAACTTAAAAATGCAAACATTGAAAATAGAGGTAAGTCTGAAAGGACCATAGACAAAGAAATAAAGCCAAAATTTCTATTAATCTATTTGTGGGAGCTGCCATTCTGACAAAAATGAAAAAGATCTCATTCCTGAGGATTAAGGAGCAATAACAATAGGCAATTTAAATCACTGCAGCCTCTCTCAATCTGTGTTAACTTGCAGAATGATAACTTCCATGGTTATTAATGGGATGCCCACTGTGATAAAGGCGTTTGCAGAGGCTAGGATTGGAATTCAAAATTATCATCATGAATTGGAAATGTGTACTGAGAAAAAAAGCAACATGCTGTCCAACAAGGAGAAGTGCAGCGTAGTGAGTGTAATCACACTTGGTTGGACCAGCCTTCCAAACATCAACCCTCACACACAGCACATGTGCAAAGTGCCCAGAATATTATGGAACCACCCTACCATGAGAGCAACAGCCAGCACCACAGTGGGATCAACATCAGGCTCATGTGCCTCTGCTCTGATCTTTCCACTGCACCATGCCCACTCCTGAACACAGTGCTTCAAGAGAGGCACACAAATGAGTTGACATAAAAGATATAGTCAGGCAAAACGACTGAATGAATTAAGTTGCTAAATCCAGAAAAAGCCGACCCCAGGAAAAGATGAACATAGCCACGAGGACACAAAAAGACTAATATAAAAAAGTAAAGTACTAATCTCTTCTTTAGATCCACTGTGGGCTGGACAAAAATCAAAACTAGGGTACAGAATTCAGGATGAAAATTTAAAAATAAAAAGAAGGCTTTAAAATATATCATAGATAGAGAGATTGATTGAGCCAGGAAAACTTCCATCTGTGAAAGCCATAAAAATAGTTATTAGATTAGACAGACAGCTGATGGATCTTTGAATTTCACTGCAGCTGAATTTTCTCTAGTTTTATTCATCATCTTCAGGTTGTTTAGACATAGAAGTGTTTAGTTTCATGTCTTGTTCATTCATCAAACAAAAATCCTTTCTCAATAACAATCCTGGGCAAGGTAATTTACAAAAAACAATCCTCAATAATATGTTGTGCAACCTTCAGCAGCATTCTGATAAAAAGGAAGATAATAATATCTCCCAAACTTCTTTTGACAAGGGCTTCTTTTGAAATGGGCATTAATAATTACACTAGATGACAATGCCATGAGAGACTAGTGTCATACAGCAGTTATTTCAGGTTAGAAAAGCTAGAGATGCTGTTGACATTATTAATGTTACCAACAAATGAAAGTCAAGAGGATTTCCTTGGCTTGACTCGAGCCATTGCACATGCTGCTGTTCCTAAGGCTGCTGTGTTTGGATCATGGAAGTGTTCAACATCCAGAGAGCATATTCAGGTTTTGCTATGTTGCTCCAAGATTAAAACCAGGTTTAATCAATGAAGAAAATGCCTATTCATGGGTGAAATGTAAGCCAGAAAACTTGTCTGAAGATTGTGTGAATTTTCCTTTGGCTATAAAAAAGGCTTGTCATTTTCTTTCTCTAATAAAATTTCTGAATCCAGAGGCTGGAATAAGTCTAACAAGAGGTGTATTCTGCTTTATATTTGAGGCAGAGATCACCCCTGCAAACCCCTTTAATCAAGACCATAGTTAAACCCTTCTGGAGATGTTGGGCTGCATTTTGGTACCACAATGCCATCCTTCCTTCCAGTTCTACCCACCCAACTTCCTTGCTCTGTCTTCTCTCAGGGTTTGTATCCCCTTTGCCGGGGAGCACCAGCTGTTACTATGGAATGGGGATACACCTGATGGCCCATTCCAGTGGAGGTGCTGTTCCTCATGTCTTAAGGTGCAAAAGCCTTTGTCTGATATTAGAGAAGTTGCCTAACAGAAAGAGGGGTTCAGCTATCAATGGACAAAGATTATTTGGACTTGAACAGGGACACAATCTAAAACAGTTTAGCGCTAGCTGCTGAGGCTGCTGGGGAAACAACCTGGAAAAAATAGGTTTCAGATAAGAACTAAGCAAATAGAAAAAGAGAGGGAGAGATACTCCATGCCTGGAGTGGCTGACTGGCCTCTTAATATGAGGACTGCAGGCCTGTGGTAACTTCTTTATCCTGCTGACCTGGTATCTTTCTGCACCATCTTATTGGTCTCCTGGGTGAAGAAGAGGCATGATCCCTCATATCACAAGCCAGTAGCAGCTTAAGTCTCTGAACAGCTTTTTCTTGACAGTTTATAAACTCTGGGAATACACAAATGATCTTGCCTTCAGTATATTTTAAAAATTATGGGGTTAGCATAGCAGCAATTGAGATTGTAAGAGAGCTGCAATCATGAAGCAAGCCAAGCAATTTTGCAAGAGTGCTCTTAACACATAAGAAAAATATATAAATCCCCTTGTTAAATTGGGTAACTGTCATGCTCATGGTCAAGTTCACCACTAGTAGATTGCATTGCTCTTTATTTAAGGAGGGAAAAAAAGAGAAAAATCTTTTCTCACTCTCTAAAATAATCACATTAATTGCAGACCATGTAGAAAAATGAAGTAGTCTAGATTAGCAATTTTTTTTTGATCCTACTGTAGAAGATTTGGAATCTTGAACATTGAAAACTGAAAATGTTCAGGATCTATTTGCCATTTTAACCTCCCCAGTTTTGGATGGAAACTTAAAACCCTTAAAAAAAACCCCAAAAAACCCAAGAGAAACCAACAACACCCCCTCCCCCCAGGAGCCTTCTGGGGTCTAAGGGCTGCCTACAATTATCTGGCAGGAGGATGCAGAAAAGATGAGCCAGATTCTTCTCAGATGTGCACCATGAAAGGGCAAGAGTCCACAAACAAGGG